GCTCTCTTTCTCTGTCTGTCTCCTCCCTTCCGTACACTCGCTTCCTTCTCCTTCGTCCTTGGTCTCTCTTCTACTCCTCCTCTTCTTTGCTTGTCGTCTTGCTCTTTCGTTCAGATATCTCTTCTGTTGTGAGCAAGGTACCTCTCTTTCCTTTTTCTTCTATTTTCGTTGTACATACCTTTCTATCAACTGTCTCTTACCTACGGTGCCCCCTATTGATCTTTCTAACCCTTCTGACAAAACACCAGGTTGTACCACAACCTTCCACGCTTGATGTATAGTATATTCAGTATCAACAGCGGGATTCAAAAGAACCAAAAAAAGAACCAAATCCGCGTGCCCCACTCAAATTTGCCGAATGGACCGGACGTTTTTTTGGCCCCAAATTCCGCCCCTTTGACACCCCTGACAGTACCGGTCGCCCCGGTGGTCTAGTGGTATCCTCGTAATCCGCTAGTCGCAGAGGTCGTGAGTTCGGATCCCCATGGGGTGAAAAATTTACGAAACTTGCGGGTGAAAGCGAAATATAGCTAAAAAGCTTTCGTGAGTACCAAGCTTCGGCGTTAGCACCGTTGACGAGGGAAAGGGACGGCTGGACCCTACTCGCGATAAAAACAAAATTCAGCACGCACCGCAGGAGGAAGGTGGGGCATGACAAGAAATAAAAAGAAGATAAAAGTCCTGGTGTTTACCCCCCTCCTGTGTGACCCTGGATGGTTGTAGTAGTACGAAAAAATACACTGAAAAGAGTAGTACTCTACATACGCTGAAAAGTATAGTACACGTCTCACCACGAAAATGGGGGGACTGTCGCCATGATGAATAAATAGGACGAAAACGAACAACAAAACAGCAAGCTCCAGGTGCAGAGAACAAATCGGGAAGTCAACTCACCGACGAAAGGAATAAAACGGGTCGCAGGGGCGAGAGCGGTATCCCGCTTGCAGTATCACGCTCCTCTCGTTTTCAAGGCCACCACTCCAAGACTTTGAACCCAGAGCTCTGGTAAGTCCTCCCCTTGTTTGACCCCGTCCCAATCTGCCTCTTGTGCGGAGGAATCAAAGCAACCGGCATCCAAGAACACCCGGCACATGTAATCATATTTTTGTCGTATCCCTTTGCCCCCCCCCCCCCCCCCCCCCCCCCCCCCCCCCC